TTCATTAGATCCGTGGGCATACACTTGTATTTACACTGCCAGAGCTATGTATAAAGCTGCCACTCTCCAATGCAAATTTGCCTGGAGTATGCCTCCCTGAATTCAGTGACCTTACATCTGAGGCAGCATGCATAGGGTTGGGCTGCAAGGATTCAGCTTCAGTAGGGTTCAAGCTTTAGCCAATGAAGCACTTTTTAAATACTGAACCAAGACTCAGTATTACTCAGTTTGCTCAGATTTGCCCCCTTAATTTTGAGAGAACTCCTTAGTAAGCTCATAGCAAGTGTGAAGAAGACCAATCCTACGCATATTTATTTGAAAGGCAAGACACACTGAATTGGAGTCAGACTGTGTACCAGGTAACTAGAAATGTTACAGTTGCATAGCTGTTAATTCTATGAGGTTATTATCCAAGTAACCACACACAAGATCCCAGCCTTGCTATTGGATGCTGCCCATATTTATTTTGAAAGGCTGTGCATGAGTGCTGCCTGTGGCAGCGAATGAGAGGTGATTGACCTTGGAAAAACCTATTAGAAGAGAAGAAGAAGAAGAGATTGGATTTATACCCCACCCTTCACTACCCAAAGGAGTCTCAGAGTGGCTTACAAACTCCTTTCCCTTCCCCTCCTCACAAAAGTCACCCTGTGAGGTAGGTGGGGCTGAGAGAGGTCTGACAGAAACTGCTCTTTTCCAAGGACAGCACTTATCAGAACTATGGCTTGCCCAAGGTTATCCAGCAGCGGTGAGTGGAGGAGTGGAGAATCAAACCCAGTTCTCCCAGATTAGAGTTCGTGCACTTAACCACTACACCAAACTATTAGGTCCTTAATAACTTCTCAAGATGTTCTTTGCATATCATTTATTTAATTAAAATTTTATCCTGCCCTTCCCACAAGTAGGCTCAGAGCAGGTTATAAATCACAAATTATCAATATAATAGAATAAAAACCATATTTCTCATAAAACACAAATCAAATAGTGGATTCACCTCGAAAGCGATGTTCAGTTTGAGCTGGATCCATTTGGGCGGCATTATCAGCAGGGGAGGCCAAGATAGATTTGGATGTCCGCCGCCTCATCCGAAGGCCAGACGGAACAGCTCTGTCTTGCAGGCCCTGTGGAATAGTAACAAATCCCACAGAGCTCTAATCTCAAGATGGAGCTTGCTCCACAAGGCTGTGGCCCTGGCCATAGTTGAGGTGAGCCAGACATCCTTGAGGCTGGGGACAACCAGGAGATGTTGATCACTTGAGCTCAAGTAAGAAAAACTTAGAGAAATAATAGTGGAAGAAGGATACTAACTGAGGCTTTTGGGGGAAGTTACAGCATAGGGGCAGCATAATGTGATAACCTTTCAAGTATAACAGTGGTCAAATTCAGCAACTGTCCCATGTCAAACAAATACTTAATTTATTTGCACAAGCCCAGCAGGTGTACTTTACCTATATACCTTCCTTAAGATATACAAAGCATGTTATAAATTCTAAATCGTACCTCCTGTAGTCCTGGGATCAGTGATGCGCTCAGCTTCACTGTAGTGGTTACTTAAAGATCATATGACTAAGGGTCTCTTCAATTGGCTGTATATGAGATTTTCATGTCAAGATCATCTGAAGCAGGTGAAAGCTAATCATAACAGAACCTTGTTGGCAAAATTTCTGGTTTCAGCACAACGAGGACGGTGTGCTCCGCGACTTGCTCCCATGTAGAGCACTAGATCACCAGGATTTTTAGTGCTACACGGAGAGGAGCTCAAGCAGGGGACTTGATCTGGACTCCCTGCAAGCAAGCGGCAGCAAGCGGGTCGTAGTCCAGATCATCCTGAACCAAATCCTGTGTGAGCTCACCCATGGCAGCCGTGACTACCAGACGCAAGGGGGGGAAAACAACAGACCTCATCTGACATATCCAAGTAACACTGTGAGTAACTTTAAATGCATCAAGATTAAATAATCAACTATAAACTGAGCCCTTTAAATCTTTCATGTTAAAATCCAAAGAAAGAGAGGGGTAAAGAAAATCTCCCCCCCCCCCATTCAAGCAGCTGGGAAGAGAGCTAAGAAGAAACCTTTTAAACTGGGCCAAAGAAGAAATGGTTCTTTGACTATCAACTATAAAATATTTTGGGGATTAAAATATATTTTAAATGAAAAAAATCTTGTTTTATTGGAATACGATCTAATTTATTGAAGTTTGTTCTCTCATTTGGATCCCTTTTTAATGGAATTGAATTATTTGGAACTATAAGATTCATTTGTGGATTTCAATTGATTCTATTTTAATTACTTTGGATTACAAATTAAAGAAGAAAGAAGAAATATGTTTGAAATATTAACTATTTAAAATTAAGTTTCTCTTTCAATACATCACTTCCTTGCAACATAGATAAATCTGATAATGTGTTGTAATGTCTCTGCTTGTTCTGTAAACAACTGATGAGATTTGATACTGTGGGAAAAGCTTATGTTGAGTATTGTGACTATAATATCAGAGCATTAATAACTGTTTTGTACATTTGGGAAAACTGATTGGACTTAAAGGCTTGTATTGAAAAACAATTTTTAGTGAGATTCTCTGTGTGTAATATTTCAAAATGGTTGTTGCAGAAACTAAAGAAAAGGTTCCTGGGGTGCCATCCCCAGGCATAAACAAATTTGTAAGAATTTAGCAGATTTATAGGCCGTAATCCAAGAAACAATAACTTTAGCTGTAATAACAGCAGTAAAAGCAGCTATGAATCCTATCCAAGAAAACTAGACATACTTGTCCAGAAAATGGAACCCCAGATGAAAGAAGACCAGAAACAAGACACTGCTGTTGTGACCACAATTACAGACAAGTTGGAAAAGAAATCAGAAGAACCAGATTTTAAATTCGAAGTAGTAAAAACCAAACAGGACTCCAAGGAACTTGACAAAATAGTGTACATGTTAAAATTTTAAAATAATTTTGAAAATAATGCTGAAGACTCAAAACCAGCAATGATCCACAAAACAACAAAATAAATGGGTACAGAAAATCCAGAAGAAATCTACAATGAGATTGATTTTTATTCCTAATAACTCCAGTGTTTCAAAAGCAAAAATAACTTAAAGAGTATGCAACAATGAAGATACAATTAATATGGCAGAACAGGAGACCAAGAATAAAACTCAAAGAGACATAAAAGAAAGATACCTGCAAGATAAAAAAAATAATTGATTAAACGCTTCAAATTGCAGAAAAGAGGGGACAGACTGATTAAAGCTCTGAAGACATGGTTAAGATTTTACAGATGA